AGGGAATGTATATGTGTGTGCACGCATGCAGAGGACAGAAGCTGATATTGGGTGTCTTCCCCTATAACTCTCCACTTTATCTTCTGAGGCAAGGTCTCTCACTGAACCTGGTACTCATCGGTTTGGCTAGGCTAGCTGACCAGCAAGCCCTGGGGATCCTCCTGCGTCTGCCTCCCAAGATCTAGGATTGCAGATGCTCTGGCTGTTTACGTGGTTGCTAGGGGTCTGAGATCAGGTCCTCATCGTGGATGCTGGGGGTCTGAGATCAGGTCCTCCTGCTTGTGCTTTCTCCCTGAACCTTCTCTCCAGCCTGCTTTGTTTCTTGGTTTTCTTTTCTTTCTTCCTTCTTTTTTAGGTGTGTGTGTGTGTCTGTGTGTGTGTGTGTGTGTGTTTCCAAGCGCTAGCATACAGTGATCAATTATTGTCACCAAGGATTAATTTTTAAAAATCAGGAATGCCCATGCCTGAGAGGAGAAGGAAGAAGGATTACGAGTTTGCGTCCAATTTGAACTATAGCCAGACCCTGTCTCAATCAATCAATTCATCACTAAATATGTAATAATTTGAATCATTCCACTAGATAAATTTGTTCAGCTACCTCCAGGGAGAGGGTAGGCTATAAATAAAGAGTAACTTTAAAGACTGTGTTCATGTGACGAAGTACAGGAAATGTAGTCAGAGTTTTCTGTCCCACTGGCCACTTCCCAAATAACCACACAGAGACTTATTAATCATAAATGCTTGGCTGATAGCTTAGACTTGTTTTTAGCCAGCTCTTACAACTTAAATTAACCCATTTCTATTCATCAATGTGCTGCCCCCAAGGTTCCTTTACCTCATTATGGACTTCCCATGTTGCTTCTTCCGCATCTGGCTCCCAACTCTCCTGACTCCCCGACTCCGCCCTTTCTTCTTCCCAGCATCCGCTCTGTCCCAAAAATCCTGCCTAGCTGTCAGCCAACCATCTTTTTATTCACAATGAGAGCAACTCATCTTCACAGTGTGCACAAGGATTATTCCACAGCGAGGGAAAGATGTTTGAGGATTTTCTGTTCTTTCTCTCTCGCTCTCCCCTGCCCTTTCCATCCACCTCTCCCCTGTAGTGGGTAGCTGTTCCATTTTAACTACGTGGAGTTGCCTTAATACTACAACCAATACTCCCCTGCCCCCTCCATCCACCTGAACTAGACTAATGGACCTATGGGTTTTTGCTCCTCTTCTGTCACCTGAGCCCCTCCCCCCCAACACATACAACACTGGGTTTGTAGGCACATGTATGACCACATTCAGATTTTTAAAGGGGTGCTGGGGTCTTCAGACTCAGGTCCTCAGACGTGCTCAGCAAGCACTCTTACACACTGAACAATCTCTCCAGTCCCCTATGCCATATCTTGATTGACAAAATTAATTATGATGCAAAACATGTTTCAGCCGACCATGGAAGTACACACCTATAATCCCAGTATTCAGAAGGCAGAGGCGAGAATACAGGGAGTTTGAGGCCAGCCTAGGCTACAGGACCCTGTCTCAAAAACACAGGGCCCAGGGAAAGATAGTTCCTGAACCATCACTCACTCTCTGTTCTCATAACCTGGAATGGTCCAAACTGTGTAAGATCATCCTATTCTTCATTCCACTGAAACCCACCAAAAATTTAAAAAAAAAAATCCTCCCTCATCTTATATAAGGAGGCTGTGAAGAAGTCTTCAGAAACTCTCGGTCCCACCTAGTCCCAGAGTCCAAACAAATCTCTCCCACCCAAGCTCTCGAAGCCCTCAGCCGCTTATAAAATAATCACTCAGAGGCTTAATATTAATTACAAACTGTGTGGCCTATGGCTCAGGTTTCTTGCTAGCTAGCTTGTATAACTTAATTCAGCTCATTACTGTTAATCTATGTATCGCCACGTGTTCCATGGATTTAGCTGTGTCCCGTTACAGGTTGCTCCTTAGAGGATGGGTTGGCGTCTCCCCTGACTCTCCTTTCTTCTCTCACTAGCTCTCTTGGATTTTCCTGCCTGGCTCCATCCTGCCCTGCCCTAGGCCAAGGCAGTTGTATTTATCAGCCAATGGGAGCAACACATATTCACAGCATGCAGAAAGACATCCCACAGCACTTGTGGGAACTAAAAACCTACCTCCTGAGCCTAAGATGTCTTAGAAGCCGACAGAAAGATACAGCTGTTGGGAATCTCTGCTCTGATCTCATGCCTCCCATTCCAGACTCCACCTCTCAGAAAGCCCACCAAGGGTCAGCTCCTCCCCAGGGCCTGCCCAAGACCACTCCTACAGTGTATTTAAGACCTGGTCACCAGACCTGCCATGTGTTTTTCTCTCCCTCCTTTCCCAGAGTCACCTGGGAATTGCTTTGCTCTGTTTATTAACTCTGGTCATTTTAAATTCGGTTTCATTTGGCTTATTGTGTCTGTGGAGGATACCCAGTAACCAGGATCCAATACTTATCAATAATGTATGCAGCAGCAGGGATGTGGGGAGGGGGTCCAAGCAAGATAAGATAGAAACATCACTGTCACAGTTGTCCTCTGTAAATGGTTTCTGCAAGCCAGGTTATGCGAGCCAAGTGGAAAGCCAAACACAGGCAACAGCTGTGAGGATGTCTCTGTAGACAGGGAGCTGGGTGTGGTCACCCCCGAAGCCGACTTCCACCCCACCCTATGAGCCAGTGACCGGGCTGAGAAGAAAACTTCCCATATTGCATTCCAACCCTCCCTCCTGGGCTTTGTGACCCTGTTAGAGACTGGTTGTAAGCTACACGATAGTACTGCACAGTCCTCTTTCAACAGTGTTTCCCTGGAGACGCTAAGCTTCTGAGAATGCCACGTCCAGACAGCCAAGATGCAGGAAAGACTTTCAATGGCCACTCAGTCCTGACCATAGCCAAAGATTATGAGGCATGAGTCAATGTTACTATCAGCACTGAAGGGCTGAATGGAAGCAAATGGCTTATATGGGTCTTTCCTACATTGCATAAGTCTGGAGCCATCCCTTTTCCCCTCCACAACTTCCTAGGAGCCCCGAGGACTGCACCATGGAGCAGAGGACCTCTGTCACTCAGTTCCCCATCCTTTTCTTGGAAACTCTGGTGGCTCCGTCCTCCAGAAAGAATCCATCAAGTTCTTCTTTGTTGAAATCATCCTGCAAAAGCTCCCATTCTCAAATTCCCCACGTTAGGACCTCTGCTTCTCCACGTAACTGATTCAAGAACGGATCAGATACCGACTTTTGTTTTCCTTTCTCTCTTAGCTTTTTAAATCATGAAAAAATTTCAGACCCACCCAATGAGAGAGAAATATACACACATGAGTCAGTTCTCTTCTTCGACTCTGTGGGTACCAGGGATCAAACTCAGGTCATCAAGGATGTTGGCAATTACCTTGACCCACTGAACCATCTCTCCATCGCTTAACTGAACTTTCTTTCTTTCTTTTTCTTTTTTTTT